ACAATAATGGATAAGGGCAATGTTGGTTCAGTATATAAATTTGAACCGATGAGGAGCAAAGTTGCTCAAATATCCCGGATACATTCATCACCTGTCACCCACTTCAAATGATGTTTCATGGACTTAAATCCAGCTTCCCAAAGGTCTCCGAATTGTGAAGAGTTAGCTGGGATAAGGGGCCATTGAAAAGTCCTGAAAACAGCTTTGTTTTCCAATAAATAACTTCTCAATTCCTTCAACTTTCTGGTTGCTCCCACGAGACATATACCATTATCTGAAAAAAGATGTCGAGGCGTACTTCGATGTGCAATAAATGTTCTCAAGATGGGTATAAAAGCTTTGGAAGTTAAGTCCTTCACTAATCTTAGGTGGACAGCTTTGGTCGCAAAACAAATCTAGAACCGCGACCATTTCTATCTTTCATTAGACCACTCGCACTACATCAAATACTTGCTTTTAGGGTAAATTTCCCATTAAGTACGGGTAAGTAAATTTCATACAGCCGCGAAATGTAGACTTCGATTACATGAATAGCAATATCTCAATATGCGAAAAATCAATGTTTTTGCGTCCACTAACGGAACCCGAAATTATAGAATTGATAAAGAGCTTAAAGCATTCAAACGCAAGTGGTTACGATGAGNATATGTATATACCTATATGTATCATATTTTTAGATTATTGATTACTACAAACATTATACTCTGTAACGTGTCCTACCCTCAGACGTTTTCCTTGTCACTGTACGTATAACAATGTACTTTTTAACAAGGAAATAATAAAAAATTATTATTAATTATTATTAAAGTCATTGAACCTAAAACATTTTACCCATGTGTCGGCCAAAACCTTTCTTTTATAGAAGACAAGTATTGCAAACCGGCATGCAATAACCATTCGTGATCAAAACGAAAGATGAGTTTTGTCAAAAAATGTTTTGATGAGATTGAAATTGAATACTTTGTTGTATATTCGATAATTAGATTATTATGAGCATCCAGTTTCATTAAGTTCCGATATTGACAATAACCCACTACACTTCTTTTTGTGTCTTAAAACGTGAGCAGTTAATCATTTTAATTCACGGCATCTTCAACTATCCTAAAACTATGATTCGATCAGACCAGAAGATATCAAACAGACGCTCGAGGACGAAGCCGCGGTGTTGATATAACCTTCAGCGGTGAAACTTTCTCATAAAAACACTAACATCAACTCATTCAAACGTTTATTACATAACAATTGCACGTCCAAAATGGCTGAAACTGTGGTGAGTAACTATCAACAGATGAACAACAAAATTCACCAAGCCTGATGTCTTCATATTGCGATCGGAAACTTTTCAGACCCTCGTATATTTCCGAAGATTTCTTTCAACTGTATATCAATGAGTTGGAATAAAATCAGTTTTCATTTAAAAACGTATCCAATGCGCGACGGCTCTTTATTAAAATCGTAACTTTTCCTGTATAGCGTTAAACTTCCCGTAGGAGTTTCCAGAGCATTCGTCACTGAAATATTCAATTCAGTACCGTAAGTTTAATTGGTAATCCTGCCGTGTGTTAGTTCTACAAAGTAAAGTAATAGAAAACCAGCTTTGAGGGCAGCCATGCACTCACGATTGGATTCTAAAAATCTCCGTCGGAAACATTAAAGTTTCATAACTCATTGCTTGGGATTTGTGAGTAAATAAAGCCATAATTTCAGAGGAAATGAACAGCATTTCATTCTCTAGGCCTTTTGAATCTTTGAGGGTTTGTGGCTTGTGCTTCTTTATTAATCAAGACTCTGTGAAGGAAGGTCTCGTGAAGGAACTAGACATCATCGAAAATGATCTTCAACGGAATGGCTACTACAAAGCGTTAGTAGAACAGACTTTGGCTGAAAGACAGCAGGAGCCTCGCAAGGAAGAGAAGCCGTCACAACCAGTGCTTGCACTTTCCTACATCAGAGGACTATCGGAAAGAATAGGAAGAATTGGTGCCAAGTACAACATCAGAACCTGCTTTGGATCCGAAAACACTATTCGTAGCAGCCTCACGAAAACCAGGCCACCAAACGCGGACAGCGAGGGGAAACCAGCAAATCAGGAATAGCAGAGCATGTTTGGACCCATCAACATAACATCGAGTGGTCCCAAGCTGAGATCATACACAGAGGGGAATATTGGTTTAGAAGGAAATTCAAAGAAGCCACGTACATGTTTTCCAACAACGAATTCAGCCAAGCTAGCGTAGAGATACGCAACATATGGAAACCCATCATCAAGCAAAAAATGACCAACTCCCGCCAAACGGTTATCTCCCACTAAACCAGTGAAGCGGAAAAAGGAAAGCGGAGAAAGTGGAAGTACTCTAATGACCGATAAATAGTCTTTCGGAGGAATCTTTCGGAGGAATCAATCCAGTCATCACCCAAAGACGAGATTGTGGATAACAACAATCGAAACTTCGTGAAGTAATTCGGCGTGGAATCTCTTTACTTTTTATTTTCTATTCAAAAATTTATTTTATCTCACTATTATTTAATTTCAGGTTTTTTTGCTTAATATACTGAAAACCAGGCCACCAAACGCGGACAGCGAGGGGAAACCAGCAAATCAGGAATAGCAGAGCATGTTTGGACCCATCAACATAACATCAAGTGGTCCCAAGCTGAGATCATACACAGAGGGGAATATTGGTTTAGAAGGAATTCAAAGAAGCCACGTACATGTTTTCCAACAACGAATTCAGCCAAGCTAACGTAGAAATACGCAACATATGGAAACCCATCATCAAGCGAAAAATCAGCAACTCCCGCCAAATCTTACCTCCCACTAAACCAGTGAAACGGAAAAAGGAAAGCGGAGAAAGTAAAAGTACTCGAATGATCCATAGTCATCTCTCAGAGGAATCAGTCCAGTCATCACCCGAAGATGAGATTGTGGATAACAACAATCGAAACTTCGTGAAGTAATTCGGCTTTGAATCTCTTTGGAATCTCTTTATTTTTTATTTTTTGTTCAAAAATTTATTTTATCTCACTATTATTTAATTTCAGGTTTTTTTGCTTAATATACTTGTTATTTTCAGCTATTCATTTTCAATTTTCCTTTTTCAGTTCTTTCAGGGATTTCAAATCATTTTATATAATATCAGACAATGGAAGTTCAAACTAATGTAATTCGCTATTAAAATTGTTAAAACACGGAATTCAATTCGTACACGTAATACTTACATTATATTCATATGTTTGAGCTTTATAGATATAAAAACAACCACCGAAAAACAGAAATGAAAAACACAAGGAATCTAAATAAGTAACTGGTTTTGTCAAAATTTTAGCGTGATGTCTGAGGTTGCATTTGGAAGGCTTCTTCTTGTATGTAAGCTCTCATATTTGTAGTTGCAATTCGTAGAATAGCTCTCAAATACTCATATGTGAGACGAGTGGCACATTAATTTTTTCTATAATTGACAATTGAAAAAGTTTGTTCGCATAAATAAGTGAAACCAAAATTCGTGATGAACTGCTGAGCAAATGTTCATTTTTAAATGACTCGGTACATCACCAATAAATAACACACGATAAGGGTTTGCAAAAATCTTCGGTTTGCTTGAAACTCTCTCAAAATCACCAAATCTGTCGCTGAATTGGGTTCGCAGTTGTAATAAAATGTTCTTCATTTTATCACTTTTCGGATGAAAATCATTTCTAGTTTTCTCGACAGGCTTTTTACAATGCGGAAAATGATATATGTTTTCCTGGACTATCTTGTTTCGAATTTATTTCGCGTCGTTGAAAATTATCTCCAGAACAGAATAGGCGCATTAAAATGTGATGACATTACATTTCTCGGCAGACTGACGGTTATTCTATAAAGCTATGGGTTGGTATAAGGGAGATATATTCTTTTTTCCTTCTACGATATAAAAACCAAGCATTATTGAATTTTAACGGGCTCCGCCTACGTCGTAACTTTTGTTCCTTCGAAATATAATGATATTGTCGGTTTCAGTGAAATATCTTGAAATATTTTTCTCCAAGACTCAAGAAACTAAAGATCATATGTTTAGTCTATTACACACAACTTCAGTTGCACTATATTTTTGAATTCTTAATCTGTTACTATCATTTTCTGGAGAAATTTTTTTGTCTCGGAAAGTTTAGGAATACTTCAATTTTTTTATTTTCCTCGAANATGGAGTAATAAAGAAATTGATCAGCTATCAAATATGATAAAAATAGATATTCAAAAAATTAAAACCTGGTGTAACTCCTTGTGCTCCAACCTAAACAAAACAAAACTATACGATTTAGATTTGGATAACCACTACATAGAAAATAAACAGCACACTAAATTCCTAGGCATTCACATAGACAATAAATTAAATTTTAAAGAACATGTATCCCGATTGAGTAAAAAAGTATCTAGTGGATGTTATGCTATTAGAGTGATATCAAATGAACTATCTCATGCATATAATTTTTTTATAAGACTTTGTCAATAAGATACTAACCTTTCGACAATAAAGCATATAAAAAAAATCAATTATGGCTGCTGGAGATGATATTCCAGAAAATACCAGAGCTGCACATTTCGTCCTGAATGGCCCTCGTTTACCCGATTTTTTTGTGGAAGATAACCATCTTCAAGGTTGACAGACCATGGTACATTTTCCTCAATCTAGAAGGATTGCTCCGTCCCGGACCAGATCACGTTTTCAGCGTTTAGTAGACCCGCTATTTCCAAATCAAGACATTGGCTTCGTTGAACTGTACTCGCATTCTTTATGTGTTATGTTGAGAAATTGTCCTTTTCAATTATTTGAATGAATACGAATATAACTGAGAAGGAATTTATGGTGTATTTTTCGTCTCCTGATAATACTTCTATAGAAGGAATAATAAATTAGAATAGTATATCTTCTCCATCCCGCTCTTTCATACTGATATATTTTCCTTTTCAATACTCCATTACTGTTTCCGTTGTTATTATTTTTTACTCTCCTTTGCAGATGTTCCTCTGGTTTCCTTAGAGCTTGGCAGTACCCTCAATGGTAGTACCATCAAAGAAGGAGTGGACGTTTACTTTGAATGCAACATCAAATCCAATCCGTGGGTTTATAAAGTCAGCTGGAGACAAAATGTAAGTTAATCAATCGGAACAACTTCCACAATTGAATATAATTTCAAAATATACCTATCATAAGTTACAGAAAAAGTATAGTTTTCTACTCTCGGAAAGTGATCATTACTCACTAGTCAAACTTCATTCTAACGAGTAATGGTCAAATGTCTTCTTGGTTGAATAATAGATGCACTATTATTGGCATTGAGAGCTCTTGACAAGACAAAACAAATCGATAAANCTTACCTTACCTTACCTTACCTTACCTTACCTTACCTTACCTTACCTTACCTTACCTTACCTTACCTTACCTTACATTACCTTACCTTACCTTACCTTACCTTACCTTACCTTACCTTACCTTACCTTACATTACATTACATTACATCACATCAAATTTTGGTACCACAATAATATAGTAGTACTGGTTTATTTTCCAGATTATTCGACCCTCTAAAAATTCACCTTTGCTAAACCCACTATCCATCATAAAAGTAAAGCTGAAATGAATGTGAAGTTGCAGTATAATGAAAGTTGGGAAAATCAAATTGTGTTTTTCGCAAACTATTCTCTCGTGGAGCCCATGAGTTATCAACTTGCTGAATAATGTACAATTCTGAAATGGTTCAATTTCATCATCATGAAAGCTCGTGTCGTTCGTTAATTATTTAAATTCCAATTTAATCCGTTTTATGTACCGTATCAGATCGCTTCGCAGTAGACGTAACCGTAGGTGAAAATTATTCTCTATATTTTTTGTGCACGTTTCTATTTAAAAATCGATGGTACATATTGGAATGCATTTTATCGGGAAACGTGAATGACAGCCATATTGCCTGTCGGATCGCTAGGTGTCGATATCAATTTTATTAAGTAAGCATATAAAACGCTGTTACCTATATGAGCGAGAATGTTCCTTCGAGATGACGTTTCCTCAATAAACTCTGACAGGCAGCTTCAGTATAGAGAAACATCATCTATATTGGAATATGTTTTCCATTCACAAGATCCTATATGACCTGCTGGAGCAAAAATTTGGAAAACTATACGAATTTTTCAGCGTTTTCCTGTCAGTCCATTCGTTTTTCCAGAAATTCACTGTTGCATTGAAGTTGACAAATTATAGGGTCTTTCATTGAGCGGTGTCACTGTTTTTCAAGTTTGAAAGCCGTGGATTTTTGTAATTTCTTCCTGACGTTTCGCTGGCGCGAGTGGCTAACTTCTTCAGAGGTTTAACCATTATGGCTTGCTATCCGATGACTAACTTTTAGGCTTCGTAAAGCGTATTTATGCCTTGCCAGGTAATCAGTTGTATTGGCACCTGTATTTGTACCTGTACTTGTACCTGTACTTGTATCTGTACTTGTACCTGTACTTGAACCTGGAAGATTAACAATCTTGCTGCCTCTTGTCATTCCGTTCGTTATTCTTGAATTCCTCAAAATGGGGTTCCATATTCGATTTAAGTTCACCGCTTCTTTTTTTTCTGTTGAAATTCTCCGTGTGTTTGTGGATCTTCATTGCCTCCCGTACTAGTCGACTATAGTATCTCTGGTTGGGGGCAATTAGTTCTGTTTTCAAACAAAATTATGTAGTGTCCTTCACTAAGCGCGTGTTCTGCCACAGCTGACTTGTCCGCTTGGCCTAGTGTGCAGTTCCTTTTATGCTCTTTCAGTCTTGTTCCCATGGATCGTTTGGTGGTTCCGATATATACCACAAGTGCACGATATGCGATAGAGCGCTTCCCATCTTCAAATTTGAGTAAAACGAAGTATGGGTGGAATATAATCAGAAATTTCATTCGTTTGACAGACCTATTCATGCTATTGATGCTAACATCGTTCAAATATTCGCCACGTCTTCTCTGGGTGAAGCGCAGCCGAAACGTTCAATTTTCTATGACTCTGGCGCATGAATCAGGCTGAGTTTGACCGATGACATGGGTTATTTAGCTTTGAGGACCTATGTGGTTTGTGGCATCCTGCAGTTTGAAAACACCCTACGAGAAAAAGTCTAACAGGGTCAAATCGCACGGTTTTGGTGGCTAGTTCACATCACCTTCACGTGAGATGACCAAGAATTCAAATTGCTCGTGCAGAATATCCAAGGTGGCATGAACTGTGTGGCACGTAGCGCCGTTCTGTTGAAACCACATGACGTTGGTGCCCAGATCATCCAATCCAGGTCAAAAGAAGTTGGTAATCATCGACCTATAGTGCTCGCCGTCGACAGTGATGGCCTGGCCAACGTGGTATCAAAGAAATATGAACTGATGACGCCACCAGCCCAAAATTCACACTAAACAGTCCCTTTTCCGGGATGCATTGGACGCGCTTGGATCTCATGTGAATTGGTATCGTTCCAAATTCGACAAGGCCTTATCGCTGAAGATAATTTTTCTATGAAAATTAGGGTCAGTTGCCAAGTGCTCCAGAGCCCATTCAGCGAATACAAGTCATTATCTATAGTCGTTTACCTTTAATTCCTGAGTCAGTCGAATTCTGTACGGGTGCAGGCCTAAGTCACGATCATTAAAATATGTAATCGCGGTTGTAAGAACTCTGCCAGCAGTTTTTGTTATATTTGTGGCGAGTTTGTTATTAAAAAACATTGAAAACATTAAAGTCATCGATGACATCGTAATGACATAAGCAGATCAAGTCTATTCCGTGACATTAAAAAATCGTAATTCATTGATGAAGTGTGTGTATTTTCTATAATGTTATCCAATTTGGTACTGAAGAGTCTTAGGGCAAGTGTCTTAAGGCAAAACATCGATGTATACCAGTGAGGATGGCAGTGTTCTATGTAAGTGCAATTTGTTACCATTCATTTAAAGTAGAACTCATGTAAATGATATCTGATTTTTATTCCACAACGAATGTTTCTTTATAAAAAAAATCTGGGAATCTTTCGAATAAAAGATAAAAATGAAAGGAGTATGTTTTCAGGAGTAGTTAGTTTTTGTGAATGAAAAGACTTTTCGGCTTTTACTTCCAGAGGAAGGATGAACGCAATTTCAGGTTTAAAATGAGGTCTTTGCAAAGATGTGCAGATCATGCATTAAAGTTAATTTCAAATACAGACTAGAAGAAAAATCAATACTACTTTCATATGAACATTGAGTTATACAAAAATCACTTTTTCCCATTCATATTGTACTCCAAACTTTCATTATGGAATTCAGTTAGATATCATTCATGAGAATGCTGCAAAATTTAACTAGCTGCCACTTCCCTGTGCGTGACAACCCTCAGAAGCCTAAACTTATACGAGCTAAGAATCAACCTTTCAACATATGAGGTGTTGTGTCAGGTGGCGTGAAAAGTTCCTAGGCTAACACATAGATGGCGCTACTAGTATCAAATCTGTATGATTTTCAGTTAACCCTAACCTTCAAAAGACACGTTTACAAATTTCACAGCTGTCGGACTATTAGTTTGTCGGATAGAACATTTTGAAGAGAATAGATATAAAGAAATATATTGTTTTGATAAAGCATTGCTTTTTGTCGAAAAAAATACTGTTGAAGCCCAACATTGACTTGAGAAACATTATTCGGGCTCCGCAACAGGAAAATCAACCGCTGAGAAGTGGTTTGCTAAGTTTAAATAAGATGAAATTAGCACCGAAGACGATGCACGAAATGGACGTCCCAAAGAGGATGTTACTCACGAAAACATCAAAAAAATCCACAAAAATGTGGATTTTTGGATCACCACAAAGTGAAGTTGATCCAGATGTCCGAGGCTCTAAAGATATAAAAAAACGTGTTAGACATATTGTGCATGGGTATTTGATTATGCGAAAGCTCTTTTGAAAGTAGGTACAGCGCGAGCTCACAGTCGACCAAAAACAACTACGATTTGATGATCCTGAGCAGTGTTTGAAACTGTTCCACCATAAAGAAAACTGAATTTATGAGTCGATATGTGAGATTAAACGAAACATGACTTCATCATTTCACACCAGAATTAAAACGATCGTCATCTGAGTGGATTGCACATAGTGAATCCACTTCAAAGCTTGCAAAGATGCAACAGTCGGTATCCGTTATGGTATCACTATTTTGGGATGCGCATGGTATAATATTCATCGACTATCTTGAAAAGGGAAAAACCATCGACAGCGACTATTACATAGCGTTATTGGAGCGTTCATAGAAAGAAATCGCGGAAAAACGGCTACATTTGAAAAGAAAGAGAATGCACCGTATCACAAAGCAATCAAAACGATGGCAAAATTGCATGAATTGGGCTTCGATTTTTTTCAAGACAAAACACAAACACTACAGGAAAATCCTTGAGGTGCTCTCAGAACGGTTCTTGTGCGAAAGTAGCGATTCACATTGGATTTGAATCGCTGAATTGGTTCCGCATCCACCGTATTCTCCGGATCTGATCCCCAGTGATTTATTCTGTTCTCAGACCCCAAAAGGACACTCGTTCGAATGAAATTCAGCTCCAATGAAGAGATAATAGTGGAATTTTTGTCTTTGATAGCCTAAGGACTTTCCAGCCCAATGGTTATTGAAAAAAAAAGGAAGATAATATTAGTCACTGTTACATGACCCACCCATTATGAAAGGTTTGTGTTAAAAAAATGCCTCGACTGAAAATAGCAATTGACATGTTCAAGCGTTTTTTTCATACACGCCTCTATTTATTCATTATCGAACTCATTGAAACACACTATACAGGGTGTGACATAAGTACGTTGAAATATTCAAGTGTCGTATTCCTGAGACAATTTCAAGAAAAAAAAATCTATATAAACTCGTGACCAAAAATGTTTCGTTTTTGAGATACAGGATGTTGAAATTTAATTTTTTTGTTTGTTTTTCGAAAATGAGTTTTGCAAAAAATAAGTTATTTGCACATAATTTTGAACCCGGGGTTTTCTGACGTGGGGAAACATAACTACGTATTGATTTTCATGTAATATCTAGAGAGCGCTGCGTACGCTGTCATTATTTGTCACGGCAGGCATTTCCTCCGTATTTGGACACTGATGGACATTCGTAATTTCAGGGCAAACAACTTTACAACAATATGCAAACAAACACCATAGTCAGCAACCAAAGTTTGGTCCTGCAATCCATTACCAGGGCTCGAACAGGGATTTACACTTGTGTCGGACACAATCAAGAAGGCGACGGCGAAAGCAATCCCGTTCAGCTCGACGTTAAATGTAAGTAAATTAAGTAGTTGCGCCACCTTATAGAAATTAGTTCGGTTATTAGTTGGGAGCCGGAAGTCCGGAAGTGAGTTGCGAGTTCCGTTGCTTGTTAGGGAAAGTTATCGAAGGGCTTAACGCGGTTTGTGTAGGTTAGGCCGTGCCTCACACGAGAAATATGCGATAAGTTTTCACATAATTTCGAGCAGTCATGTATTTCGAAGCAGAAATTGTTTAGCTGTGACATTTATGTATTTATTCAGGATGACACAGTCCATACGAATATGTATTGCCGATAAGCGAAATATGATAAGTATATAAAGTCGGGGACAGTGTCATCTATTCATGTAAATAGTTGCCGATTTTGTCGTATATTATCTATTTTGAATGAAAATGTATGAACATCACATTACAGTGTACAACAGTCTAAGCCGCGCAAAGTTTCGCATTATAGATCAGCTGAATGGAAGGATTTTCAAGATCATTTCGGAAATTTCTCCTGGCTGGATGTTTGTTTAGCTCTAAAGATCCATCAACTTATGCTCCTGAAGTCACGGAAGATATTCTGTCATTCATAGATGCATATATTCTTTCATCAATGAAACAACCTTCTAACGACGAACCTTAGTTCAACAAAAATTGCAAGCATGCTGTTGTCTCCAAAAATCTTGCCTACCGGCAGTAGCGCAAAAATCCCAGTGCCGAAAACCAAACAAGGTTTGGTAATGCTCGCAAATGCTATCCAAGATTATTAGGGATAAACTGCTTGCCAACCCCAACGGGTCTAGATCCTTTTGGTCGGTAGCTAAAGTTGTTAATCAGAACTTTACAAAATCCACAATTCCACCACTAATACAAGCGGATGGTTCAATTGCAACAACAGCCATAGAAAAAGCAATCTACTAGCTGAACCATTTGCGTACCACTCCACAGTCAAAATCAACAAGGCGGCTGGCCCTGATGAAGTGCCAGTCATTGTGGCTAAAAAGTGCGCAAATAAATTCGCACCAGTATTTTTCAGACTTTTCCTTTCTCACAAGAAAGAGGGTTTTTCTTCTTGTTGGAAACCTATTCCCAAAATGGGCAAGAGAATTCTTCCAAAGAGCTGTTGCGCTTGATATTTCTAAGGCCTTTGACCGTGTATGGCATGAGGGTTTGCTGGCCAAACTTCGATACTATCGCTTGTAGATCTCTCGAATACTTTTGTCATCAACGCTGTTGTTCCCCAGGGATCCATAATTGTCTCCAACCTTCTTTTTATTGTATATCAACGACTCATTAAAAAAAACAAGAATCCAATATATTGCTTTGCTGACCACAGCACACTTGTTTCTTTATTCCATTTGGATTCCAAGACGTCGGCAACGGAGAACGGAGAACGGAGGCGCCAGGAGGTTGTATATCTTAATGAGGATCTAGAAGTGATTTCGAATTGGGGTGAAAGTAACCAGGTTCAATTCAATGTCACAAAAACTCAAGCATCGGTTTTCTCCAAAAAGATAAATGTTTCCCAACTGAATATGACTTGACACAATCATGTCGCTGGAATTGCAAAGGATGCTTCTCAAAATCTTGGAACACTGTTCCAAACCAGAAAACTGTACACACCTCAGCAACTTTTGATGCTTCATAAAGTTCAGATCAAACCTTATTTGGAGTATTGTCCTTATGTATGGAGCTCTGCCCTCAAACATACCCTGAAGTTGCTGGATTCCATCCAGAAAAGAACCATCCACCTGATTGGAGACGCGAACATCACGTGCAACCTTGATAGCCTCGAACTTCGAAGAAAGGTTAGAGATTTGTCTCTTTTCTATAGATCTATTCACGGGAAGTGTTTAAGTGACTTGGCATATTTGATTCCAACAAGAGCGGACAGATCAGAAATTCGCGACGGATTGTGGCTGCTCATTGTTACGAGGTTCAACTCAGTACACCTCGAACTTCACTGTTCAAGAACTCTTCCAACTGGAGAACTGCGTTTATGTGAAATAAATTTCCTGAGAAAGTTTTTCCAAATGGATTTGATCTCCAGCGATTCAAATCCAATGTAAATCGCTACTTTCGCAGAGGCACCGCTCTAAGAGCACTTCAAGGATTTTCCTGTAGTGCTTGAAAGTGCTTGAAAAAACATGATGAATCTCTAATCGTATATGCCCAGCCCGCGAAATTTGAATATTCACCTTATTTTTTTAACACTTCATTATACCATCTAGTTGTGACAAAGACGAGGTACCTGAGGTACCTCTTCAATTATGATCACCTGAATCATATTACCTCAGATTCATATTGTAACGAATCTGAAGCCGGCCCTGACCGATATCTCAGCCAGCAAACACATGACTCATCGCGAACCGCCGCGAAAAGAATAGATGAGTACTGAAACCGCTAGAGGTATCTAGAACGATCGTTACCAATATAAAAGGTCGGGTCCTCGCTCAGAGAGGGAGTCTGGTTAACAAAGAATTCGAACAGTGAAGATAAATTAAGCGTTAGTTGCTAAGTGTTTTATATAAATTAGTTGTGATAGTGAAATATTGTTAAAAATAAATTTGTTTAAGACAGTTAATTCTTTAATTCTTTACAATATCAACACAAAGTAGCAGCTTATAATAGCATGATTCACAGATTAGTCAATGTTCCTCCTTCAATAGATAATTTCAATAAAGAACTTAATATCATCAAGCAAATTGCAGTAAACACAAGGGTTTGAAGCCGAATTAATAAACAAAAAACCTTTTCAAAAAATTCTGCTCAAAAGCGATTCGAGACGTTTTTCCTATTGATGAGTTAGATAATCAAAATTATAGAGCTTTAACTTATTTTGGACAAACAACGGAAAAAGTGGCTTCATTTTTGAGGAAACGAGAAATCGGGAGTATATTAATCAAAGTATGGAACTTGTCCTAAGGTATATATTGTTCAAACTGATAGAACATTCAGGAATCGAATTCAGGAACACCAGATGGGCTATGTAAATAAGAAAACAAGTTCAACATATTCAAATCATCTTTTAGAAGAAAGTCATATCATCAACGAAGAGTTCGAAATTTTACACGTAGAAAATAAAGGTTTAAAACTGAATCATTTGGAAGCAATGGAAATTGATGAACTTAAAAATTCAAACATTCCAATGAATGACCAACTGAATTTGAATAGATCACCGTTATTAAACTTATTTTCCTAGACCGAGAAAGAATTATTATTGATGTAGAAATGAAGGTATATGATTCAGGTGACCATAATTGAAGAGGTACCTCAAGTAGACGTTTAGGTAATTTGTTGGAGATAGTCTCAATTATGGTTGGTTACCTGTAGACAAATGGAAGCGAATATTGAACATACATACAGTACACGATGAAAGATCTGAAATTGCGGTTTGAATATATAAGCAACAATCGATATTCACCTTCTGAATTATTTCTGAAAACGTCTGTCGTAGTAGAATTGTGGATTATGCAAATGTATACCTCCAAGATACCGTTGATTTTTCTTGCCTCTAATCGATATTTTCTATATTATTCACTCCACAATCCGGAACTATCGTGCTCCGATTTTCCACCGACCCATAATTCACCACATGATATCGTCATATTTTATTGTCGCGAAAGAAACTGGGAAAATAACTGGAAAACAAGCTGCCGTTCGGTGTGAGAGAATCGCGAGTGAAATCAAAGTTAAACTTCGCCCATAAATCAACAAATAAAATAGAAGTTTGTAATGCGTCTTGTGAATGTTCAAATGGCAAAATCGTAATGGGAAATGGTGGTTTAACATGCTAGGAATGCAGGACTGTAGCCAGCTCAAACAGTCGTAGTATAGACTGCTATCATATTAAATTCTTGAGTAAGCAAGTGTCCTGGAGCATAAAGTTAATACAAACTGTTTCGTTCAGTTTTTTCACGTCCAGATGTGTATGACTGCAAGGAAATAACTGGCTTTTGGACATGGAAAAACGTACTCATTTACATACAAATTAAATGACAACTTCGCGGCAACGTTGTCGCCATCTACAGGGCAACAATAAATATAGATGATTATTGAACTGTTATTGTTTATTGTACATTTCCAGAGAAACTATCAACATATTCAGAAAGAAAGCTACAATACAGACCCTGACACATGAAAGTAAACCGAATAACATTGATCGTTTTATGAAATCTCTCTTGAATTTAGAAATACAAAGAGGTGGTCCCAGAATTACCGGGCCCAACAAAGACAACAAAAAATTTTGGAAAAAAATTATTTATTTTTCAACATAATNTATTAAACGACGCAAGAATTCTGCTTTGTTGCTGTAATATTTTGCTAAACACTCAAAATAAAACATCTTCGCGACGCTGTTTTTGCTCGTGTGTGAACAAAAGCGGCACTCATCTTGCACACAGCTTTCTCATTTCCAAGTGTAGTCGCTGGGAACCAAATCTGGCGAATATTGTATATGCGAGAGAAATTCTAAGCCTATTTTATGCAATTTTGCAATCGTTTTCATTGATTTGTAACACTGTGCATTTTTTGATGTAGCAGCACTTTCTTTTTTATCAAACGGAGTCTTTTTCAGCAATTTCGGACTTCAAACGCTCCAGTAACGCTATATAATATTCACTGTTGCTTATACTTTCCTTCTCAAGATACTCAATAGATAATACCCTACGCATATCCAAAATACCGGACCCATAACCTTTCTAGTCGATTTTTGTGTTTTCGAGTGGTTTGGACGAGGTTCACCAGTTGCTTTCTATGATGTCGATCGTTTTGATTCCGGAGTGAAGTGATAGATTCATGTTCCATCCATTGTCACATATCGACGCAAAAATTCCGGTTTGTTATGTTTGAACATGGCCAAGCATTGCTTAAAATCACCAAGACGTTCTTGTTTTTGGTCAGCAGTGAACTCGCGCGGCACCCACTTTGAAAAGAGCTTTCTCATAGCCAAATGCTCATGCAACATAAAGCCAACACGTTCTTTTGATATTTTTACAATGTCAGCTAACACACGCAACTTCACTTTTCGA